CCCCAAAACCCCAAAACCCCAAAACCCCAAAACCCCAAAACCCCTTCAAATAATAAAATATTGACCATTCATAATAAATTTTAAATGGAAAAATTCTTTAACAGAGTTGGGAAAATCGGAGCAGGCTTCTTCGCGACAGGTCTACTCTTCTCAAGATTCATCTTCGTAGTCGATGGAGGCGAGAGGGGTGTCGTCTTTGACAGATTTAGAGGAGTAGTGCAGAAAGTCTATGGTGAAGGAATGCATTTTATTATCCCCTTCATACAGGTGGGTTACACTCTTGTTTTTCTTTAGTAATTCACTTACTTTATTGCTCTTAAAGATTTTTCATTCAGATTTTTAACAATACGAGAATATTTTTGTATAGGTTCCAAATATCTTTGAAGTTAGAGCCAGATACCAACTTATTCACTCAAGAACTGGAACCAGAGATCTTCAGACAGTTGATTTAGCTGTGAGAATCTTGTATAGGCCGCTTGAAAGTCAATTACCAAAAATACTTAACAATCTTGGGATTGATTATGATAAGAGAATCATTCCTTCTATTGGTCAAGAAGTTTTAAAGTCTTCAGTAGCCCAGTACAATGCTGAGCAGCTCCTGACTCAGAGAGAAAAGGTCTCACTTGAAATTAAGGATGATATGTCCAAGAGAGCAAAAGATTTTGATATCGTTTTGGACGATGTCTCCATCACTCATTTGAAGTTCTCCAAAGAGTTTGCTGCAGCCATTGAGCAGAAGCAAGTCGCTCAACAAATGGCTGAGAGATCCAAATTTGTAGTAATGCAAAGAGAACAAGAGAAGATAGCAAACATTCTTAGGGCTGAAGGAGAGTCTGAAGGAGCTAGACTTATTGCTAATGCTATTAATGAACACGGAAAAGGTCTGGTCGCTCTCAGAAAAATTGAAGCTGCTCAGCACATTGCTTCTACTCTATCTACCTCTCCAAACATCTCATTCATAGCTGGAAACACTATGAACATGCTTCAGATCCCTTCACACAGATAAAGATCTAGAACAAAAGTTTAATTCTCATTCAACGAAAAAGTGGATTCTAGGGGTTTTGGGGTTTTGGGGTTTTGGGGTTTTGGGG